TCTGTGGCGCCAGTAGCAACTCACATGGTAGAGGCTCCATGCATGTTTAAATTATGTCAATGGGAACAGGAGAATCAAAATTGTACTGGCAATTGGGACTACTTAACAACAACAGGTAGATTTAAAATCATTTCTCTAATAATTGCAGCTACTTAAACTCCAAAATCAAATCCACTACCATAAGAAATTAACCAAAAACAAAAAAGTGTTGTTTAAAGACGAATTGATCTATTAAATATTTTGAGAGCATTTAATTATTTCATATTTGAATATAAACTTAATTAGGTTCTATTGACTTGCACATGCTTTGAAATAATATGTGCCACAATGTATAGATATTTTCACCAAAAATATAGATTTGAGACCTTTCCCCATTCACATTAATTTTTCTAAGCAATTCTTTCTTCCCTAGAGTCTGCTGCTGAGTTTAAAATATAGCTAAAAGATTTTCCTAACTAAACCTCTGCTTTTTCTAGCTATATATTTATAAAGTCCTCTGAGAATTAGTTTAGCATAATAGCTTGAGATATTTCAGTGTTTGACATATGTAGTATTAAGATAAAAAATCCTCAGAACTCTTTTTATATATTATATATGGACATACATATATTATAAATAATGACTTATTAAATATTCTCTCTTAATTCCTTAGTTTCCCTTCTAGAATATCAAAAAGACTATATTGCTAAGTTTATGTTATTTTTTCCTCCCCTGACATTATTGTTTTGCTTCTGAATGGACTAGAGAACATATTAATAGCATGGAAAATTTAGCAGTAAGACCTTGAATTCAATTTGGATTGAGGAGCAAAGATGGAAAATTGGTTAAATCAAATATTTAACCCCTCTACAGAATGTAAAATCTCCCTCACATGGTACTGCAGGACCATAATATTAGCTCATGGTTCTTCCTACAATGGAATCTCCCATTTGTTGTATATTATCCTATGAGTTTCTTTACAGAAAAAAATCCCTTATAATGGCATAATCATTTCAATAAAAACATCCAATATTTCAGGGCAAAGCATTTCTTACTCTTATTCATTGCATATGGGATTTTTGTTCTATTTATTTCCGGTTTTGCTTTATCTTATCCTGATCTCTCTATACTATTTTATTTTTCCTACTAAAACTAGATACAATCAAGCTTTGTAACCTCCTCTCTCCTACCTGTCATTGGAGCCTTCTGACAATAAATAGTGAAAACCTAACCTCAAACCATTTAAATAAATGAAAATAAATTTCTAGAGAATGGATACTTTCATCATCTGAACAAAAGGCACAGTTGTACACTGACAACAAGGATGGTGATGTAAATATGCAATTGTGACAACTGTGTGTGTATCATACATAAGTATTCAAAGTTATAAGAACATGTAACACTATTCTATATCCTTATATGCACTGATATGTGGATTTGTGAGGGGTATGCTATAACATGAGAAAGTATATAGTTTAGTGTTAACTGGAGCCCTTTCGGTTGGGTGAATGCCAAAGCAACTTTCAAAATATTTCAAAACAGCTGCCAGCATGTAAAGATTTTAACTGAAGGAGCAGAGCAATGAATCTGAATTACTAATGAGAGAATAAACTTATATTTCGCTTAAGGTCCTTAATGAACATGGAGATAAGCAGATCCAATAAGGAATTTGTCTCTTGTGCATGCAAACCAACCTTCTGAAACTGTTCATGTAAGGATAAAATACTGAAACAGATTTTACTTATGCATTTTAAGGTAACATATTGTTTAAGTCTACTTTGAATACTTTGTGTACTTCTGTTTTAGAAAAGACAGTTTCTGGAAGATAGAAGTCATTAATTCTCTTACATACACACAAATAAAATCCTAGAACTTTGAAGCTAAATGTGCTCATTTAACTCTTTTTTTTAGTGTAACATGTAATTGAAGAGGATTCAGTATATGCAGTTTTTGAAGTCTAACAAGAAATCTCACATATTCTTTCTATTGGGGAAGTTTTACCTTTTGGTCTTCCAAGAACAACTTGCCTTCCAAAAGGGAAAGGAAACAAGGTCAACATTTGCAGACCAGGTAAACAGTGGATAAGATGCAATTACGGGTCTTTTCTAACTATAGAATTTGTATTGAAACAATTAAAGCAGTGATATTTTCCCCATAAATATAACTCATTATTGATTGTGCAGAAAGACTTTAAAAGGGAAACACATTTTCTAAGAATTCCACTCTTTTGGCCAGAAACTGTTTCTCTTTCTTTTGCCTTACTTGGCACACAAAGAGTTTTTTTCTTGATCAACACAATATAGCTTGGAATGGTGTACTGATGCCCCTGAAGACCCGTGTTGGATGGAGCCACTAGGTGGAAGTCCCCATCACCAGTGGCAGACTCAGTGCCCCTCACAATGGGCCAATAATTCAAACAAATACTATTTTACAGAAAACCACTGCTTGCATTCATCTGCATCTACTGGGCTTGCTTGGGCCTATACTGCTGGCCTCGACCCATAGGAAAAAAACTTCCCAATCCCTGGAAATCTTTCTGGACCTCTTTTGTAGGAGCATAAGCTTCATTTCTTTCAACAGAAAACCTGTGCAGAGCCTAGGAGTGGTATTTGAGATCTCTTCAGATCCTGCCCTAAGATCAAGAATCAAGAGGTGGGAAGGCGACAGCGCAGAGACCCAACGACGACCCAGCGGCCAGAGGACTCACTTTTGTTTTCCTAACAAGGTGGCTTTCCACTAATCCAGCCCAGCTCGCAGGCTCCCAACCCTGTCCAAGAACCTGGGCACTTGGCCGCTGAACAAAGATCCCCGAAATGAAAGCCGTTAAGGCAGAAAATGACCTATAAGGAGTCAGAACCTTGATTAGGTCTTCAACTAACTCGTGGGATCCCCCGCACAAGCCACAGATGCTCATTACGATTCTTTTTACGTGCAACACGTGGGGGACGAAGCAGCTTCATATCTCTTGGTATTATCTGCCGTCCAAAGCATTTTCTTTGAGAGGAAAATGGAAACGCAGCTGCGCCTTGGGCCGGGCCAGCCAGAGAGCTGAGGCTCCCTCCCTCTGTCTCCCCGCGGCCGCCCGGCGCGGGAGGCTCCTCCAGAAACTGACTTGGGTTAGGCAAGCTCCGAGGTTGCCGTGGCAGGCGCAGACGCCGCTTCGGCGAGGGCTCTCCTTTGTGCGGTTTGGCCGTTTTTCAAAGCCATCAAGTTGGGAGGGGATGCCCGGGTCTGCAGCGAGGGCAGCGTCTGGCCCCTAGACCACCGTGTGAGGGGACACTGGGCTGGGCGGCCTCGGCCACTCTCAGTCTTGGCAACTTCTGGCCAATCCGTCCTGCCCCTCTGGGCCCCGGCCGGCCGGCAGTGCCCCAGGCTCAAAGGGGTAAGCAGGTGCCTCGCCGGGCGAGGCGCTATTGGGCGAGAGACCTGGAGGCACGGCAGGGTCACCACGCTTCGCTGAGCCCAAGTTGGGTTTCTTCGGAGGGTGCGGCGACCCCGAGTCTCCGGCCTACGGTGCCCAGGCCTAGACATACAGCAGTGCCAACGAAGAGAGAACGCTCAGGGAAGCCACTAGCAGCACCAGCAAAACCGGGCAGAGAGTGTGGGCGCGTAAAGGGACCGCAGCCTGAGCCAGGCATCCCTCGGAGGCTGAGCCCAAAGACCGCAACTGCTCCAGCTCACCAGCCGGAAGAGAGAGGAGGAAATGGGGCAATGGGGGGTCCGGGGCAGGGGGTGGGGTAACCGATCAACTTCCACCGGACAGCCCCTAGCCAAGTGTGGAGTGCAAGTTGTCACTTAAAAGGCGCGCCCAACTACAAAGATCTTTCCTCTCTCTCCAGTGAAAGACGGATGTAACAATGTGGAGAAGTAACTGAGAGACGCGAGGAAATAAATGCACGTGTTTTCTCTTTTTGTTTCCCTGGTGGTTGGAATTTGCAGAGTTCATCTCAGTTGTGGCTGCTAATTTATTCGTTTCATCGGTCGCAAGGGGCATGTAGAGACGGGTCACTGGGGCGCACCCGGATCCCGGTAGCAGGACACACTTCACAAGTTTGCGGAGGACCAACTCCTCCCTCCACCAGGAGCAAGAAGAGCCCTTTCTCAAAAGGGGAACAAACTCTCCATTGCACAAAAGCCCCCCCCCCCCAGCACACCGTCTCTGCTCATAAGTGTCAAGTTCTGGAAGAACCCAACTTGAGCTTGGCAACAGTCGCGCTGCACCGTCTGCGGAAGGCGGGCAGAGAGGTGTCTCAGCGGGGAGGGGACGCTCAGCGCCCCCATTCCTACACGCTCGGGCTGGAGTCCAGGTTGCTGGAAGCTGCTAGCCTGCCCGGATGGTGGTTATTTCTCTAGAGAAAGGAGGGGAGAGAGCGCGCTTCGGTCTTGCACTTTGGGTCGGAAGTGCTCGGTGTGTGTGTGTGTGTGTGTGTATGTGTGTGTAGAGGGGGGCGGAAAGAAATGCACCCTCCACTGCCCGTCATTCCCTTGCACCGGCCAAGTCCTCGCTGAGCCTCCCGGTGCATCCTTCCTCCGCCACCCCCTCCCCTTCTTCCCTCAGCTGGGCTCGCGCGGCGCAGCCGGAGCAGCCAGTGAGAGCAACATCCTGAAAAGAGGGGGGAGCACCGCTGCCCCCCAAAAGGGAAAAAAGGCCCCACCCTGACACGTTTTGCTGTTTGCAAGTCCCTCGCACGCCCCCCGCACCTCCTCCTCGCGCTCGCGGCCCCCCCAGCCCGCTGCGCGCACATCAAAGCGCCTCTCCGCCGCGCACAGTGGCCGCGGCTCACTAATGGGATTGCAGGCTGGTGCCTGGCTCCGCTGCTGCCGCCCTCGCTGCTCGCGCTGCTGCCGCCGCCGGTCGAGCCCGAGCCCCCGCCAGCCCGAGCCCAGAGCCGCCGC